AACTAAAGGTTTATTAACACAAGAAAGAAAAGCATGAGAGTAAAGTTGTTAAAGAATATTACGTTACATGCACCGAATCTCCCAGTCTTCGATGCAGGCTCTAGCAGAGATGTTACAGCTGCTGGTTTAAAAGTTCTTGTTGCACATCCTACGATCAGGATGGGTTCACAGGTCTTCCAGGCTCTTCGATCCCTGCAGTGCTGCCTCTGGGATGAAGTGCTGAGCTGAGAACAAAATGGCATCGACCACATGGCCTCTTTATCCCTCCTTCCTGACCTCTTCTGGGATGCAGCAGGTCACCTGGTCAGAGGCCAATCTCTGTGTTTCCTGCTGGCTGCTCTCAGGTGACAGCCCCCATTCTTTGGGTGTGTCTTTGGCCCATCAAGTGCCATTGTCCTACAGTGCCTGGCTACTCAGCCTGTCCATAGCAATGCTTAACCACATTCAGAGAAATAGTCAGCTTCCACACAGATTACAGATTCCTACCTACACACACAGACATTATACACTCACATAAATAGCGTACAATAGATCAGCAAACAATAAGCTCCCATTCAATACCCCACATGGCTCCCTTTTATACCAATTTCTAGGGCCAACACCCCCACCTAAGGGTGCAGCAGCGATCTGGCTGCTTCCCTCCAATTCGGTAATGTGACACAGCCCTCAGGCCGAGAAGGCCAAGCAAGGAGCATGCAGCCTCTCACTACCCACCGCCTCCTCCCATGTTTGTCTCGGGGAAGTAATGAAACTCACCTGGCAGGCCTTTACGGGGAGAGTCCAAACCCTGAGAGACATCCTGCGAGGGGGGTCCTGGCGCCATGCTGATGATCACCTCCTGGGTGGTGACATGGTATCAGTGCTGGCCTCATCCTCATCATTTTCCTCATCATCATCCTCCACCGCCCTGCCCTCTTGGAGGCTGATGACGGCCATGTCCAGGCCAGAGCCGATGACAAGAGAATGAGAGGCAACCTGTTCCACTCCCAGGGTGGCATCCAGCTGGTCATAGACAGGGTAGCCCTGGGGTGATGTTCCAGATTGAGAACTTCTCTCTCTGGCTTGGTGTAGCGCTGGAGGAGTGCCTTAATCTACACATCGGTGTTTCGTCATCTGGTGCAGAGAACCTGGAGATATGATTCCTCACCCCAGATACTGAGGAGATACAAGATCTCTGCAGCCATCTGCCCCCTCCTCTACCCCTGACAAGGGGCTTTAGAGCTGGCTGCCCACTTGCGTACAGCTGTGGGGGGCTCACCGGGACTGCCGTGGCTGCCGTGGCAGCAGGAAAGGGAGAGCAGGGTGTTGTATGTGGTGCGGGGCTGGCAGTGCCTGTATGTACAGTAAAGGCTGCAGAGGAAGGGGAACTACAGAGTTTTGATGATTTTGAAATACGTTTGAAATAACGGGCTTGCTGTGTGGCTGCTCACCTTGTGATTTCAAAATAACATGAGTTTTTTTCAGAATAACTCAGTAAGCATAGACATGCCCAAACAGAGAGTTAGGATACTGGGTTTAGAGCCCTGGTCCATTACTGTCAAAGACTCTATCACCACCGCCTAATTAAAGGAGAGGGGGAAAAGCAAAGAAGGTAGAAACCATTAAGCTAGACACCTCTAGCACTAGGCTATACTCTCCTTTCTCTCACATTTAAAAATGTAGTTTGCAGTCTATAGCAATGGGGAGTGACCAGGAGAATCAGGACTGTACAGAAGAGAGGGATCCTTTGGTTCAACTATCTCAGCAAATTGGACTTTGGCAACATGTCAACAACAATCAAAGTTCTATAGAGAAACATAAGAAAGAAAAGGTGGGAGGGGGAGGTTGAAAAGGCCTTTTCCCTCTTTGTGGAGGAAGGGATTTTCAGGATGGAGGAGGTGATGCATAGATAGGAGTAGTAGTCACATATCTTTAGAGCAGAGTCCAAGAGAGCCACCAAAGACCACAAAAATCACAGGTGGATTGATGGTATCAGGCTAGGTTTATTGAAAACAAAGCACAGTAATAGCTTTCCCCAACGAGATGTCTACAGCTAAGCTAAGATTATTTGCTCATAATGATGGACACAATTCAGTCCATGCCAGGAATGAGACACTGCCCCATCGGCCAGACAATGACAACTTTTTGGGGTCACTTTCACCCACATGTACAATCAAGTTACACTTCACTCCCGAGGTATCCAGTTGCCATCTTCTGATGTTACCTGTATCGACCCATTCCCTTGTACATAGAGGTTTGACCACTACCTGTCCTGTATCTGGCACCGTTTGTTCCTCTCATCCACGCAGAGTGTATTCCTATCGAGATGTTTCTTCACAAAGTGTCCTGTTACAAACCTTTTGGAACGTGCTTATTTAAAACGGAGCTTTTACCTTATTCATCTTTGTTTTAATGGTTTTTGTTTTGTTTTTAATTACTTTGTGCAAGTTTAGACATACGCAGAGAGGGTCAAAGTGAGTGGAGGTGAGGGAAAATGGGGGTTGAATAGAAATAGGAACGTAGGGAGCAATGCACCAAGAGAGATTTCCATCTGTCAGGAAATACGTCAGTTCATCTCTATTTTACAATATGCTAAAACACACCTTTCACACTCCGTGCCTGTGTCTGAAAGCAGCCAGTTTCTCAATAGCTGTTCTCAGGGCCTGATTGACCTCCTTGTTCCTCAGGCTGTAGAGAACAGGGTTGAGCAAAGGTACCAGGATTCCATACAAGACAGACAATGTTTTGTATAGGAGTGGCGGAGGGTTAAACTCTGGAACCACATATGTTATAATTATACACACATTGTAAACTGCAACCACAATGAGGTGAGAGGAGCAGGTGGAAAAGGCCTTTTGCCTCCCAGTGCTGGAGTTGATTCTCAGGATGGAGATGATGATACAAGTGTAGGATGCCAGGGACAGTAGAAAATTCATAATTGTCAATATGATAGACACGTAGTTTGTCCCCATTGCCAGTATGTCCGCATTGCCACAGAATGGGTTTATGGGTGCAAAATCACAAAAGAAATGATCAAATTCTTTGGGACCACAGTATGTTAATTGCAAAATTAACATTTCCAGCATGATACTGTACAAAATGGCGATTATCCAGGCCCAGGCCACCATGTGGCAGCAAACCCTGCCGTTCATCAGAGCAGGGTAACGGAGGGGGTGGCAGATCGCTAGGTACCGGTCACAACACATTGCTGTGAGCAGCTGGCATTCCGCAGTAGACAGGATAACATAGAAATGGAATTGCACGATGCAGTTCTGAAGAGAAATGTTTCTGTGCCCGGTCACGAGACTGGCCAGCAGCCTGGGCAGGGTGGTGGAGACGTAGCAGATCTCTACAGAGGACAAATTGGCCACGAAGTAGTACATGGGGGTGTGAAGGTGCCGATCGGCCACCACTAGCACAACGATGAGGAGATTCCCAGCCACAGCCACCAGGTAGATCACTAGGAACAGCAGGAAGAGGAGGGGCTGCAGTTCAGGGCCGTTCCCAAAGCCAACGAGGATCAGTTCTACAATGGGCGTTTGATTCCCTCCTTCTGCATTCTCCATAATTCATATCTAGAAATGCAAAAGTATCAGATATTCCTTTAGCACAAGTTGTGCTGTTTGCTACCTGACCAGAAACCTGCGGGCTGTGTCTAGACTGCACCCGTTTTCCGAAAAAGGGATGCAAATTAGACTTAGCGCAATTGCAAATGAAGCGGGGATTTAAATCGTCCCTGCTTCATTTGCATATACATGGCTGACGCTTTTTTCCAGCTCGGGGCTTTGCTGGCAAAAAGCGCCAGTCTAGATGGGGATCTTTCGGAAAATAAAGCCTTTTCCGAAAGATCCCTTATTCCTGATTTACAGGAGGTTTTACTTCCTCCAGGCCGGTCCCAGGTTTCTGCTATGAAGTTACAGGTTGTCCAAGAGAGAAGGATTTTCTGACCGCTTCTCAGTTAATTTATCTTCTTGCAAGGTCATTGTCTGCTGATTCTCAGCTACCTTTCTTTTTGGGTTGGATATTTATCATTCATACGCACACACAATCCATAGGTAAAATTCATCTTTATGGCCTTAAGTAATCAGAAACCTACCGTAATCTGGATTACTTGACATATTAAAGGAGCCTAATATGAATAAAATGGGTTAACATACCAAAGGCATGATAAAGGAGTTAATATAAATCCTAACTCAGGGTGTGTCTAGACTACAGGTTCGTTTGTTTTTTAAAGTGGCTTTTTTTTCAAAAATAATCTCCCCTGGCATCTAGACTTCTAAAACATAGCCGTTTTTATGACCATGATAAACCTCATTTTACAAGGAAGAATGCCTTTTTTTTTTGGAAGTGCTCTTTCAAAAAAAGGCGTTCTTGAATGCTAACAGGGTTTTTTCGAAAGAGATCATCCAGACTGCCTGGGTGATCTCTTTCGAAAAAGCAGCTCACTTTTGTGAAAGAAGTGGTCACAGTCTAGATACTGATAGAGATGTAGCCGTGTTAGTCTGGTATAGCTGAAACAAAATACAGGACTACGTAGCACTTTAAAGACTAACAAGATGGTTTATTAGATGATGAGCTTTCGTGGGCCAGACCCACTTCCTCAGATCAAATAGTGGAAGAAAATAGTCACAGCCATATATACCAAAGGATACAATTAAAAAAAATGAACACATATGAAAAGGACAAATCACATTTCAGAACAGAAAGGGGATGCAGCGGGGGGGGGCGGGGGAAAGGAAGGTGAATGCCAGTGAGTTAATGATATTAGAGGTGGGGAAGGGGAAATGTCTGTGAGTTAATAGAATTAGAGGTGATACATTACAAAGATAGCTTCCCCAATTATCACCTCTAATTCTATTAACTCACAGACATTTCCCCTTCCCCACCTCTAATATCATTAACTCACTGGCATTCACCTTCCTTCCCCCCCCCCCCTAAATCCCCCCTCCTCTCTGTCATT